TAGGTGGTGGAGCTAACAACTCCCTACCACGAAAAAAACCCAGCATTTTACAAAATGTCAGTTGTTTTACATGTGCAAGAATGTGTTTTTTGTTCTGTGCTGTTTGACTGTCAGACATAATTGTATTGCATGTAAGAAAAATTAATCAAGTTTGCATTTGTGATGCCTTGAATAGATAGATACTCTTCTTTCTGTGTACCTGTGGAGAGTATCCCCCTGTGACGTTTATATTGATATGTTGGTAGCCATGCAAATGACTTTGTTGTGTTCCTGCAGGACACAGGTGGCAGCGGGAACCCCAGTCCTCTGAACATACAGAATGTCGGTGGCGTGTTTGTGGTGCTTGTAGCGGGTCTGGTCCTCTCTTGTTTCATGGCATTGTTCGAGTTACTGCGTAATGTGTATGAGACAGCACGTGAAAAGAAGGCAAGTGTGTGGAAACATTCTGTGAAATCAGTGATAATATAATGACTTACAATCTCGATAATTCTTTTAATTCTATTTCATTAATGGTACAAACTTTGCACAATGGAACCAGCACAACTTCAATTCAGATTAAAATCTAAAAGTGTTATGTGTTAAGAGATATTCGGAGAATATTAATGAGAGCAAGACATTTTTCTTCAGTGATGGCGAATCATGGTAACTTGACATGATTTTCGGTCTGTGTCCTTAAAGGCACTGGGTCTGATGCATCTGCAGTGGCAGTTATCGCTCTCTGTCTTAATAACGTCTCTGGTCATCATATACCCAGTGCAGTGCAATAAAGGCACTGAAGCTACGTCCATTACTGTGATCTTTTCCATTTTGCCCGATACAGTTAGAACAGGACCCACCCATCTTTTCAGAGTTCTCCATGAATCTTATGAGATGCTCTTAGAACGCATTGTTTGAACATGTTCCTTTTTATGTTGTTGTGTGGTGTTGCAGGAAACATTAAATTTCATTTTACTGTTTATTTATAGCTCAGAGAAAATATACTTTACTGTTTGTGCCAAGAAACACATTCAAGTTGACGAAGTTTATGAGGAACTTTGTTTTTTATGCAAGTCATTTGTGACTGGAAAGTGAAACCATTGCAATTATAAGTGGGCTAGATATTTATCCCAGATGGAACGGACGTGATACAAAATATATTTTTAAGGAAACCTGTTGGAAGATGGTTTTTTCAGAGGTTAAGAAGGAGAGGGGGAAGACTGAGAAACAGTTTTTGAAATGGGAGGTGGATGGATCTAGCTCTTGCATCAGGGATGTTGACTGTTTGGTTTCTGCTACCAGACAGTTGATTTTGATCTTCCATCATCATGTAGGTCTAGGAAGTCATCTTACTGATATGAGAATGGCTGATGTTCGGCGCTTTAAGACACGATACAAAGCTGTGATGTGTCTGCTCACAGGTCTGACTGGACATCAAATGTGGAACTCCCAGAGATCACTGAGCACCGCTTCATGCTGACTACTGTTTTTGATAAACATTTCCATCTTGTTGGTAATTTCACAGTTATAAATAATATGACACATCAAAATTTGTTATTTTTATTTGTCCCATGATTCTAAACGTGTTTGTGTTTGAATTGCAAGTCAGTAAGCGGTGCATTCAGGAGATATACAATTTGAATCGTGCCTACAGACTGGCCATTCTGACTGAGGATTCTCATAGTTTATCCTAGTTTCTTCTGGCTAATTCTGCAAAGTGCAGCACAGCTGTTTCCTTCCCAACTCGTCATCGGACAGCACGTAACGTACACGATTGTTGAAGCACTGTTAAACAAACCACTTTTTACTGCGCAGGTTCTGTTCCTGCAGGAACTGATGGCAGAGTTCAGGTTCATCGCTCGCTGCCACGGCTCCACAAAGCCAATCCGCAAATATGATAACCAGGACAAGGAGGACAGCCCACCAGCCGAAGAGGGGGCTGATCCCCAGAACTTCGTTCCATTGAGCATCTATGGGCCCACACCATATCGGCATTAAACAGCCCCTGACATAGTTCGTCACAACAAATTGTTTGTTTATGACACTCCAGGCCAGTAGTATGTTGGCAGCTGGGAGGAGGGAAGGCTGCAACGTATGTAAATAAAAGCATTTTTCTGTATAGATTTACTAAGTAATTAGTCTTTTATTTTTGGTGCCATTGCCTTCAAAGACAATAAGTTGTTGTCCCAGGATTTTTGTGGAGGGGCACAAAATTATACAAAGAAGATGATGGCCAGTTTTGAATTCCATTTTGGGTACCAGGTCCTCTTAAAGTCTACCAGTAGTGTACCTGCCCAGTACAGATGCAAATTAAAGCATAAGGACATTTTGAATTTGATGAGTAATACTTTACTCTTTATACATTGGTTAACTCTTTGATATTCAGGAACACTAGTACCCAGATGTGATCTGAGAGACTGCTATATAGCTTTGTTAATTAAATATGTATTAATAAAGATAATAACATAAAAATAAGTCCTCATATCTTCCATAGTCTGTACATTGGTAGAATCCAGGACAAAAGTAGATGTACCAGTAGAAGTGTTTATTCTTTAGATGTAATTATGTTATAACATATGATATATTATATGATAAAAATTATTATGATTTTAATTTGTATATATTAACTAAATTTTACACTGAAGCAGTGTTCTTGTACTTGTTACACATTGAGGGATTGTTTGTTAAACACACAAGAAAGAAATGAATGTAAGAAAATTACATGTCCTTATTATAATGAGTTTCTGACAGTTCCAACACATCAATATTCTTAATTCCATTCTCATTTAATGTAATATTAAGTTGATGCTTAAATATCCTGGCTACACTGCTACTGTGCATTCCAAGCATGTCAAACAGGTTTGTTCACATACACAGCACAGGGATGCAATTCCTTGTAAATTTTAAAAGGCTGCATGTTTTTCTTTTTTATACTTGAGGGTCTTCCTTAGTCCCTAGATCTAGTATATGACCAGAGTTAAAATGTAATTGGTGATTTTTCACTCTGGCTGTCATGTGGGAGGTTACCAATTACTTTATGACAGGAGTAATGCGTACATTTTAGTGGTGCTGCATCACTCTGTACAACAGGAAATTGTTAGTGCCTTCGTGAAAGAGATAATGTTTCATGAATAATGAAGGATAAATTGTTTTCTGCATGTACTTCATTAACTGAATCTTATTAAGAATTGCTAACCATCTTGACATTTTTGTGACAACCACCTTAACATGGATTCTCCAGAATTGTTTAGTATGGAAAACAAAGAACTTCTAAATATTACATCTAAGAAATGGATAAGTGTTCTCATGACCTGAGGATCTATACATGGCATCAGTTTGTATGTGAGTGCTTCAGAGTACTTTTGTTTCTTCATGTTCAAGATTTGAAGCTTTATGCCACTTTTCATAACTAAGCATTCTCCTTTCATTGTTGTGACATCAAAATTGTCTTGTATTATCTTTTCCCAATTTTTGTACAATGTCAACATTTTCTTGTAAACAAATAAGCAGTCGGGAAGAACAAGTACATGTGTAATTCAGTTCTGTCATACATGAAGTGATATCCAACATAGATTAATACTAACATGAAATTCAGAGAATGGTGGGTAATAACTATGGAATTATTTTTATAATTAACGGACATCTCGAAGGTCATAAATAACATGAACTGTAAGCTTCTTACATAATTTATATAACTGAAACAAACCCGGTTATATGAAAATCAGGGACGAGGGGAATCACGGCATACTGGAGTAGACGTGTAGAACCAAATGTTGATTCGTGACACGTTACGATTCATATGGCTTTGATTTAAATATGTAAATATCTGAAGCAGGTAAGATTCACGTCTTTATTAAATGATTTAGGTTGACAGAATAGTTTGGAACGAATAATTAAATCTGAGTTATGATAGAAATTATGTTACTGTCAGGCGACTTTGTGACGCAACCAGTATAAGTCCGACATCGAAGAATTGACAAACCATCTTCAGGAATCATTCTGTAACGGTAGGCTAATCTAGCTTATATTTAATAATTGTGGGATAAATGTACCTATTTCTCCAGAACAGAAATAAAAAAGAAAATAAATACTGCTGCACGTCATGTAGACGCTTGGCCACAACTATATTATATTCCTAGAAATGTGGATTATTCATTCCTATTACGAACATTGTCAGTATCTTTCTATGCTTACATTGTGGTTTCTACATTGATATTGTTTTGTATCTTTAGCATGTGCAATAGTTCTTAAAATTACTTCATATTAATTTTCTTTACAATAATTTCACTTAATATTAATTCATTTGATTAAGTTCTTAGGCTCAGAAAACATTCTTTTATTTATTCCTGTTCACTGGAATCCTAATTTTTCACAGCATATCATGGATATAGTTAAAGAGGAGCCTGATTCTGACAGTGATTGTCACCAAATGTCTTCGCTGACTACCTCTTACTTTGATGGTGTAAAAGAGGAACAACCACCTTTGGCAGAGACTGCAAGTGATGCAAAGGTGGGTTATGCTTCATTTTGAGGTTTCCTGTATGTACAATAATTTTTACATATTTAACTCTTTCTGTAAGGTATATACATGAAGCTGTCAGACCAAGTTTAATGTAATTTAAGATTAATGCTTTGTATACTTGATTATTAGCATAAACCCTGTGACAAAATTGAAGGATTTGGGTCCAGCTGCCTGAAAAAAACTATAATTTTGACATTCGTTATTCTGATATAACTGACAGCTGGATAAATGTCATCATTCCATGGTACATACGTGGGAAGAACCATAACATCAATTAAACTGAACTAACCTAATGCTATCAGCAGCATTTTCAATAATCATTATTGTTAAGAGAAATTTGTGATGTACAAAAGTTTGAAATCTGTTGATTGTTTACAAATGGTTATTTCTTTTGGTGATACATATATGTGGAGGATGAACAGAATCTTGAACTGCCGTTTGTCATGATTGGCAGTTTAGTGATATAATTCAGCGAACATTTATATCAGTGGAGAGTTTTACCTTTTTTGCTACAAAATTGTTTTGTGCTGTGGCAGATTTTGATTTACGTTCGTCCATATGTTTCTTCAGAGCAATGCAAAACTTCCAGCAGCTTGAACAAATCATATATATTATGAATGCCATAGATAGATAGCTGCAGGATTATTTCTTCAGTACACATTGATGAAATAAACCGATGTATTTTAAAATTAAGTCTACAAGGTTTGGATGGAATCTACTGTACTGCAAGAAAGGAAATTATATTGAGCCAAGTCAAGTGCATTCAGTCATAACAATGAATAATGTTAGCACTTTCAATCTTAACTGTAATTATCAGCAAGTAGTCAGGTGGTCTCCTAAGAAAATTACTCTTTTATGACATGGTGGCAATTCCAGTAGGTACACAGTAGTGATCAAGGTCTTTCAGTGAAAAACGGCATAAATGACAAACTTCTTCTTTTAATCCCTATTGTCCTCTTGTCTGCTTCTTCTCATATCCAAGTACTTCCACAGGAGAAATATAATTTAGTTTTCTTTATGCACCTGAATATCACAACATAGCTGTTGGCAACATTGTTTTTAGGATGAATCATGGAACATGGAGGAATTTCTACAAGTAGAAGTAACAACAGAGGAACCCGAAGAACATCACAAGAGGTGAGTTTATTTTGACAGATTATTTTATAACATTTTGTTGGGAAATTGAAATACCGCTAGACCAAGAATGTAAGAGACACATGAAGAGTAAGAGATAGCGAATTTTGTCTGTCCTCAACATGTAGCTTATTTTGCAGTGACATTTTGGGTCTGTAAAGTTCTTGTGTCCAGTGTTTGAAAGTAATAAGATGTTCACATGCTCACACTGGGTAATGTTTTATTTACGTTTCAGTATTGGTATTCAGTTTTCTAAGTACTTAGTGAATCTTTAGTATGCTCTTCTATC